TATCTCTTAGCTTCCTGTGAGCCTGAAGTCTGGGGCAGAATCTATGATCGGGACAGCGTATTAACTTTCCATTCTCAGAAAGAGCCTCCAAGATTGCAGGAATGTTTGTACTCTGGAATGCAGACTGCTAGCAGGGGCTGTGGTGGCAGCGGATATGGGGAAACTGAGGCTGCGTCTTTCTTTCTGAAGAGCACACCTAGCATCATGAAGCCCGTGCAAGGTCACAGCCTGGATTTTTCCTTCACGTTTAGACTGTTATTGTTGGTGTCAGATTGTCGTTGTCGAGCCAGCCACCTGGCTTGACCCTCTAACCCTCGGTCCCTGCTATGCTAGGAAGCTGTGGAATTTCATTAATTTTTCTCTCCAGAACAGTCTTGGGAGGGACAAAGCCCCAAAGCTTGGTTCTCTGGGAATGGCCCCAGTTTTCAATCTGCTTCTGTCCCAGGCACTGTTGACTTATATCATTCTGGAACCAACGGGCAGATTCTCTTGGGCTACTCAGCCGGAGCAAAACCAAATTTCAACATTCATTCGTTTTCTTTTCTGGGGACTGAGAGGAGGAGGTCGGCCTTGGGGAATTTCTCCCCATATTCTGTCACGAAAGGCCTTTGGGTCACGCATTCCTTAGGAGTGCTGACTCTGGGGCTGGAGCGATATTACAGCGGGGAGAGCGTTTGCCTTGCACGCGGCCCACCCGGGTTCGATTCCCAGCATCCCGTATGGTCCCCTGAGCACCACCAGGAGTATTTCCTGAGTGCAGAGCCAGGAGGAACCCCTGAGCATCTCCGGGAGTGACCCCAAACAAACAAACAAACAAAAAACAACCACAAAGTGCTGAAACTGGTTCAAAGAAGACTCTGCACCCGCCCACCCCCTCCTCCCCATACCCCCCCGTAGCAAGTCTCCGGAAAAATTCCTTCTGACCCGAGATAAGCGCCCCATGGCCCAGTGCAGGGGCCACTTTCCCAGAGGAGCAGCCTGGCTTTGCTGGCTTTGATGCTGACTCCTCCCTCACAGGTGCCCTCGTCTAATCTCCCTGCTGCCACACCAGGGAACGGCAGCTCAGGACAGAAAGATCGATGGCCTCAACTGTGCCATCCAGCTGGTATAGCTGCCTGGAGTTTAGTTCTTTCTGCCTGGGGTGAGATCCTTAACCCCTTTCTCCCTGGAGTCTTAAAACCATCTGGGTCGTGTGTGTGTGTGTGTGTGTGTGTGTGTGTGTTTGTGTGTGTGTGTGTAGGGGGTGGGGTGGGGGGTGGGTGAATCAGTAGTTATCGTGTTTAAGGTGCTTGCCTTGCAAGCGGCTGGCCTGGGTTTGCTCCCTGGCATTCCACAGGGTCCCCAGAGCTCTGCCAGGAGTGATCCCTGAGTGCAGGGCCAGGAGTAGGCCCTGAGCACTGGCGGGTGTGGTCCCCAAACAAACCAAAATAAACCGAAACGGTCCTGGGGAGAGGAAGGGAATCTGGGGACATCGGTGGAGGGAAGTTGGCACCGGTGGTAGGATTGGCGTTGGAACACTGCGTACCTAAAACTCTACTAAGAATAACTGTAAATCACCAAATAATAACATAATAATAAAATAATAATATAATAATAATGATGATGATGTACCACTCAGGACAGAGGACTGGACTTAGCGTCTGAATCATACCGGCGGGTAAGAAAGTCAACCAGAGCCTCTGCATTTCTTTCCGGGACCTGGTAACTTTGTTTCGCAAAATGAACTCAGGGACCTGTCAAGGGTTAATCACACAGCTCCAGAAGCCATGGGCTGGCATCGAGCTTTTAAAAATATTTGCGCTACTTTATCTGGCACCACCGCGCTCGCACGTCTATGAGCGTGTGCACGCAAATGTGTTTTAAGAGCACAAAGCACTTCCCATTTCCTCTGCTCGGTGCTCAGCTTCTCCCGCTTTTAAAATGCAGTGAAAGGTGAGATCAAGCTTGTTGGTCAGGCCGAGGCAGGCAGTCACTGGAAGATTGGGGTGCAGGGAAGCAGACAACCCTCCCCCCCACCACACACACACTTTGCAATTCCTGAGCAGGAATTCAGAAGAAGAGCCGGAGCCACTAATCACTTGGAGAGTTCTGCTTGCCTCATTAGACAGGAGGTGCTGAGCGGGAGGCTGGCAGGGGGATTCTTCCCCGAGGGCTCTGGGTTGCTTTGTAAAGAATGTAGCAGCTCTAGCACCGAGCCCACCGGGCACTGGCCGTGACCACCCTGCTGGGGAGGGTGTCCTTGCAGCCCAGAGAGGGGGGGGCCGGGGAGGGGGCCCAGAGCAGGGGCTGGGGGACCTGCTGGCTTCTCCACCCTCCTGTGTAGAGGATTCTGGGGCTCCCTCCCGCGGCCTCAGCTGCTCAGAGGCACCCAATGCTCTGCTCGGCCGGGCGTGGCCTCTGCTGAACAGGCTTTGTTATTTTCTGTGGTCTCCAGTGAGCTACGGGCCGGGGCCGGGAGCCGGAGCCCCACAGGAGAAGCTGCCCTGCTCTTCGGCCACATTTCAGCTTTAAGGGAGCAGCGGCTGTGTCTGGGAGGGGGGTGCTTGTGTGCCCATGCAGAAAAGTTTCTTCAAAACATGTTTTCCCTCCCCCCGCCAATCCAAGTCAAGGCTCATTGCAGGAGACTGGGAAAATACAGAAACGTGAGCTGCAGAATCCGAAGTTCACCAAGGGTTCCTCATCGCTTGGTGACCGGCCACTAGTCCGTCCCAGGTTCTCTTTCCTCCATCTCATCCCAGATTCCTTAATTTCTCCTCCTCCTTCCCTCCTCTCCTTCCTTCCTTCCTTCCTTCCTTCCTTCCTTCCTTCCTTCCTTCCTTCCTTCCTTTCTTCCACTACCTTCCTTCCTTCCTTTCTCTCTCTCCTTCCTTCCTTTCTCTCTCTTTCTTTCTTTCTTTCTTTCTTTCTTTCTTTCTTTCTTTCTTTCTTTCTCTTTCTCTCTTCCTTCATTCCTCTTCCTTCTTTCCTTCCTTCCCTCCTTTTCTTCTTCCTTCCCTTCTTCCTTTCTTCCTTCCCTTCCTTCCCTTCCTTCCTTCTTTCTTTCTTTCTTTCTTTCTTTCTTTCTCCTTCCTTCCTTCCTTCCTTCCTTCCTTCCTTCCTTCCTTCCTTCCACTACCTTCCTTCCTTCCTTTCTCTCTCTCCTTCCTTCCTTTCTCTTTCTTTCTTTCTTTCTTTCTTTCTTTCTTTCTCTTTCTCTCTTCCTTCATTCCTCTTCCTTCTTTCCTTCCTTCCCTCCTTTTCTTCTTCCTTCCCTTCTTCCTTTCTTCCTTCCCTTCCTTCCCTCCTTCTTCCTTCCTTCCTTCCTTCCTTCCTTCCTTCCTTTCTCTCTTTCTTTCTTCCTTTCCTCCCTTCCCTCCTTCCTTTCTTCCTCTTTCTTTCTTTCTTTCTTTCTTTCTTTCTTTCTTTCTTTCTTTCTTTCTTTCTCTCACTCTTTCTCTCACTCTCTTTCTTTCTTGGTTTCAGGCCATACCCAGCAGTGCTTCAGAGGGGATGTTGGGGAATTAAACCTGGGCTGGCTGTGTGCAAGGCAAATGCCCTGTGCATAGTGCTCTTTGCCCCCCGTCCCCGTTCTTGTGCTGAACTGAGGGCAGGGAGGTCTGGCTTGTTCTGTGATGCAGTGCTCAGTCTGCTGGACCACCACATAGGGCACCCTCCTCTCCCTGAAACAGGTTGCAGCAGAGCCCCTGCGGGTGCTGCTGTCACTGCGTCCTCGGCTTGGTCCCTTCAGCTCTCTGCACCTGACTTTCCTCTTCAGTAAAATCACTAGCGCTCACGGTTGTTTTCTGGGGGAAGACTCCCAAGGAGTGCTCCTGGCAATACTTGGCAACAAGGCAGGCGGTGCAATGTATGGGGCCTGGTGGTGCTGCCCCCCACCCCCGCCCAGTGGTGCTCAGTGACCCCAGCGTGCCAGAGGTCAGGCTCAGGTGCCCGCGCGCGCAGGACACTGCCCGTCCCCCCGAGGTGTCTGCCGGCCCCTCGAGCTGGGTTTCTCAGGGGCTTACTCTGTGCCAGGCACTGTTCTGTGCTCTCTGAGTGTATCGCTCACTGGGGTCCTCTAGGATGGGTTCCTCTGACTCCTTCTTTCTGCACAAGGAGACTGAGGCACAGAGAGGCTGCTTTGCCCTGGCGTCACACAGCAGAGCCGGGATGCAGCTGCCTGGGCTCTGTCCAAATCCCGCAGAAATGGGGGCTGAGGGCTTGGGTGGTCCCTGGGCTCTGTGCCTCTGGGTGACGGGGACCTGGGGCAGAGAGGTGACTGCGCGTCAGAGGAAACCCTATGGCGGCCAAGGTCCAGAGTCTCCTTCTGCGATCAAAGAGCAAAGTTCTTCAGGAAGGGCCTCGGTGCTTCCACAGGTGGGGTCCAGAGGTCTTTCGACCCTCTGCCATCCAGCCTGTGCCCCACTGAACGTTCAGAGCCTGGGTGGACCCTGCTGCTGGCGGCCACCACCAGGTGGGTGCATTGGGGTCAGATGGGGAAGTGGGTGAGATTATCAAGATGATAATTCCTCCCAGCGGGGCGGCAGGGCAGGGTGGAGCCGGGCATCCTCAGCAGGTCAGGAGCAGGGGGCTAGGGGGCTGGGCGAGGGCGGGACAGGGGCTCAGGGTCCCCCCCTCCCACGGCCAGCCGTCCTAGCTGAGTGCACCGGGGCAGAGACCCGCATCTGGCCCTGGGGGCCTGGAGGACCCGGCTGGGTAAACAGGCCTATTTGTGCCTCTGATTACTCACGGCAGCCCGGGCCGGTCACTCCTTTTTCCACTGTGGTCGGGCGTCTGAGTCAGAGGGGCTGGTTCTCTGAATTGTGGCTCATTCCCGGCCTCTTGAACGCCTGCCAACGCGCAGGGCGTAGCTTACTAACAAATCTGTTTTTTTTTTTTTTAAAGCCAGACTGATTCATAGAAACTCCTTTAAAACACAGGGAAAAGAACCCGCCCAACACACACCCTAGCACCCCAGCGCAGGAAACTTATAACCTCGGAGGCCAGCCCTCCCCTCATTGCATCCTCAGACCGCAGGGCCGACGCCGCTCTCTTCTCCGCTGCCCCGACACCCAGGTAGGTGAGCGGCAGGGCCGGGGCACCCGGGCTGCCTCTTCTCTCTCCCCTCTGAGCTCGTTTTCCAGTCTCTGCGCGCCCCCAAGCATTGGGTCCTTAGGATTTCTCCTCCAAGTGGACACCCAGGCTGCTTGTTCCATAAGTTTGGAAAAGTCTACTTTTCCAAAAGGAGACTGGTCATTTGTCCGCAGAACGGGCTGTCGCTGGGCTCGGTCCTCTAGCCGCAGAGGGACTTTGGAAGCCCGGGCTGACTTTATGGAGTCAAAGCCACATACCTTCGACATGACAGCAACGCCCTTAGCGGCCAGATGTCTCCCAGCCCTTGCTGGGCTCCCGGGCGTGAATAGTTGTGTTGCCTGTTGGTTGCTTGCGGCTCCCTCGGCCGGCTGGAGTAGAGAAAATACCTGCTTTTCTCTTCGGGTTTTGCCGCGGCCTCTACACCTCTGTGGTTCATTTGCTTCTGTCTGAATTTAAGTATAGAGTTGTTGCCCTCGGAGGGAAAGTGTGCGTGTGTGTGTGTGTGTGCGTGTGTGTGTGTGTGTGTGTGTGTGTGTGTGTGTAGGAGTTGTTGGGCTATGTAAGAAAACCTTTGGGCTGGTGTTTTGGCTCACACTCAGGTGGGTTTCCTTGGGGGAAGCCGGTATGGGTCGTGTGACTCCTGACCCAGGCCAGGTGTGGCAACTGGGGACTGCCGGCTGGGAACTGGGTTTGGAGGAGGGTAGAGCAGGGAACTGTATCTGTTCCTGAAACAAACTGATGGGCTCTGGGCGGTGGCTCCCCTGAGAAAGCTGGCTCCCGGGCCCAGGAGATGGGAGACAGGAGAGGACCAACAACCAACATGCTTTTTTAAAGAAAAGGCTAGAAACTTCTCCACAGAGAAGGAACCCCCAACGTGCCTTTCCCAGAGCGCGGCTGCGGGGAAGGACGGGCGCGCTGACCACACACTGGACGCGGGGAAAGGGAAACGCGTGTCCGCACGGCTTGGTGGGGAGCTCAGCATCTGCTCGAGGTGTGGCCCCGTTTCCACACAGAGAGCGGCGTGTGTGTTTTCCCTCCACACAAACACGACGGGGAGACGTGCAGGCTCCAACTTGCCTGATGAAATCAGGCTTTTCCTGCAGAAACGCAGTTGGGAGATTTCAGGGTGTTTCGGCCCCAGGACTTTGGACAGGTTAGGCGGCCAGCCTGCCTGACCTCTGGGTCTGAGTCAGCCGGGTCAGGGAGGCTGACCTCCAGCCGGGGGTGTCTGCACCTGCTGCAGGTGTGTCTTGTTTCAAGGTGACATGAGGGGGATCAGGGAAGCCTCGGTGAAGTGGCTCCTGAAGGCGTTTACTGAAGCCAGTGTGTGGGTCTGGGCTGAGCTCCGTGCAGGCTGCAGTTCTCTGCAATATTTAACTGGCCCGCAGACGGGCTGGCGGCTCAGGGAGAGGGAACTGTCCGGCTGGCTGAGTTGTTGCAGCCTCCTGAGTTACTCCCGAGTTTCCAAAAGAACACAGAGACTGAATGTGCTTCCAGGCCTTTGACAGCGATTTGAAAGTGGGAAACTTCCCACTTTCCCTTCCTTCCTCCAAGAAGTAGTGAGAGGCTATTTAGCATGTGGGTGTGAGAGAGAAAGTGTGTATGTGGGGTGTAAGTGTCTATGCGAGCATGTGTGAATGTGTGTTCCAGTGGGTGTATGCACGCGAGTATCTCTATGTGTGTATGTGAATGTAGGTGAGAATGTGCATGTCTCTGTGTGAGTGTGTCTGTGTGTGGGAGAGTGTGTCTTTCGTGTGTCTGTGTGTCTGTGCCTGAGTTTAAATATATGTGTATGTGGCTATGTTGAATGTGCAAGAGTGCCTATGAATGTGTGAATGTACATATGTGTGCATATGTGTGTGCATGCGAGGGTGTGTCTGTCTGTGTGTGTCTGTGAGTTGGGTGAATGTGTGCATCCGTCTGTATGTGTATGCGCGTGTAAATGTGTGAGCATGTGCATCTATGTGTATGTCTCTGTGTTGTATGAGTACAAGTGTGTGTGTGTGTGCTGAATTTGACAATATGACAAGTCAAGGTTCTGACTCCCACTCTCAGAAGCCCATGTCCCCCGTTCCCCCCCCCCCCCCCCCCCACAAACCAGTCTTTGAGGAATGGGCGGGGCGGCGAGCTCTCTGGAGGGCTGCAGGATGTCCGGCCTGGGGGCCTGCTCTGGGGAGCCCCGAGATTTGACATTGTTCGAGGCTGCCCCACTGTCCCGGGAATTGGCAGGAGGCCACGAAGGAGCGGTCCCAGCCCGCCACATCCCGGAAGCGGCTGGCTGCCTCCCGGGAGTAAGGGCTGAGACGACCTCCTCCAGGCGCTTCCCTCGGGATGCCCTTCCCGTTCTCACAGGAAGACCCAGAGCTGGGCTTGGGGAGGGACGCGCTAGAGAGCGGCCTCTGGAGAGACCCGCGCGGGTCCACAGGATGGCAGAAAGAGCATCAGAGACAGACGGAGGGGAGGCCAGGCCAGCGAGATGGCCTTGAGCCCAGTGGAGAGTGGGTCGGAGGCCCTGAGAGGAACCAGGCTCAGCCCGGTCAGTCACATCCTGACCTTGGCTGCGATGGCTGAGTGTGCGTGGACTCCTTCTCCCTGTGTCTCAGTGACACCCTGGAAGGCACCAACCCCTAAATTATAGCCCCGGCTTCCTGGCAACAACCGGGCTGGGTCCTGGTTCTGACATCGGCAGCAGCCCAGAAGGTCTGTTTGGGTAGATTCTGTGGGATCGTGACCCAATGCCTCTAACTTCTTTTTTTTTTTTTTTATTCTTTTTTTGTGGTGGGGACATATTGGGTGGTGCTCAGGGCTTACTCCTGCCTTTGTGCTCAGGGCTTACTCCTGCCTTTGTGCTCAGGGATCACTCCTGGGAGGGCTCAGGGTACCATAAAGGGTGCTGGTGATTGAACCTGGGTTGACTGCATTCAAGGCCGGGGCCCTCCCCACTTAGTACGGCTCCGGGTCCTGCCTCTGACTTCTAAACTCCAATCCCTTATTTTTAGAACAAATGGCTAAAACTCAGGGCGCCGGAGCACAGTTGTTCTTTGTGCTCAGGACTCAGAAAGAGCAGGAGGGAGTGGTTTTCCAGCCGCCGCCCCGGGTTCTTTTCAGCCCTGCCTTCTCCGAACCCTTTCCCGGTCCCCACGGAACACATGTGCTGCCTCACTCATGATGAGAGACGTTTGGGGTTCTTAGTCACATGTACTCTGGGGACACGCCCGGGGCAGCTGAACCGATCCAGAACCAGAACGGCAGGTTTCCCTCGAGCCCTGGAGAGGTTCGAGGACTCGGCCTGATGTCCACCCAGCCCCGCCTTTGTGCATCCACTGGGCACCTGTCATGGTCACCAGGTGACAGACCGTCAGCCTGGAGTGATCTCCGTCACATAACTGGCCCAAGCCTGGTTCTCGGTCTCCTGAGAAGGGGTCAGAGCCCATCACAGTGTAGGCAAGACCACAGTGCGGACGAGAAGTTTCGGATAGTTTTCAGCACTTCCCGACTTGATTTTCCCAGTACTCTTCCCCATTCTCCACATATGACCCCGAATTTCCCCCTTGCCTCCCAAGAGCCCAACTGTGATTCTCATGAAGAGCGTGCCAAGGTTTCCAGCACCAACCCCGAACACAGACTCACACTCCACTCCTGAACGGGCGTGGTCATTTCTTCTTATCCATCTGGAAGACCCCTTGGGACCGAAGCATTAAGATGACGTAAAGAACCCCTGGGGTTGCCCATTCCCTCTCCTTCCAGACAGATGCTCAGGGCCCACCTTCCTTTCCCTGCTGTGGGGCCGAGATGGATTTCTCTGTCCAGACAGGAACTACCCGTTTCTGTTTGGAGAATTTCCCAGGGCTCCTGTGCCAGCCGGTTTAACCCACAGAGGACAGCAGAGGAGTGTCAGAGGCAGGAGAGGGACCCGCCTTCGTGGGCATCTGTAGACCGAGGGGGGGGGTCTCCTCTGCCCCGTTGGCTCCCAGATGTCTGAGGCACCTCACGGAACACCTTCCCCTCGACAGCCACAAGTGCTCACCTGCTCTGGCCTGGGACCCCCAGAGCAGGGCCTGGGCCCTCCCAGAGCAACCACTGGAGGGGCCTTCGGGTTAAGGCAGGCCTGGGAGCCGGCTCCACCCGCCTGAGGAGGGTGTGGCCACCAGGGTGTGGTGAGATCGAGGGAGCTTTCTCCCGACTCCCACACACCTGCTCTGGCTCAGGCCCTGGGGGACAGGGCGGGCTTCCAGCGCAGGACCTGGGCTTCCAGGCCAGAGCTCGGTCCCCGTCGTCCTTGGGGGACCTCTGGAGCATGTGTGCCTATAGGGAGATCCATCCCCACCCTCCTCCAAAACTTTTCATCTCTCCAGAGGACTCAGATGGGCGTGGAGAGCCTGGACAGCTGGCCCGGGTTCTCCTTTCAAACCAACAAGCTCATACCCGTGGGCTGGAGGCAACGGGTAGGGGTGGGGTGGGGGTGGGGGGGACAGAGTTTGGGCAAGAGAGGGAGTAAGTGTGTGTGAGTGTGTGACCCGCTGTGTGTGCTGATGTGTGTCTAGGGGTGTCTGTGTATGTTCCTTTTGTGTCCTTTTATAACGTGTGTTGATGCGCATGTGTTCGTGTGTGTTCGTGTGTGTGTGTGTGTGTGTGTGTGACTGTGTAGCCATGTGGGGGGTGGGGTAGGCCCAGCCTCCAGGACCGGGCTTTGGCCAGTGTCCCTGCTCTCCACATGCCCATGACCCTGCTGAGAAGCAGGAGCAACAGAGGAGAGGGCTGTTCGCAGGGAAAGTTCCAGAATGTCTGCTGCTGAGACGATACCAGAGGACTGTCAGTTTCGGGGACCTGCCTTTCCCTCTCTGTTCATGGGGACACCCGCCTCTGGGCCTCCAAACTCCCTCTGGAAGGGAGACCGGCCCCTCCTATCCCCCCCCCCCCCCACCCCAGCACACGCACTTGGGGGGCCTGGTGTGGCGGGCTAGAGCATGCTGCTGCCATCT